GCAACATGCAGAACAAATTGACCTCAGAAGTATACAGCCAGTCCTGCATCTTTCATTCTGATCTCATCTGTAAACCAGAACTGAATTTTTCATGCAGATTTTATGAAGATCACTTCTGAAAATGATCGATGGAGGTGAGACTCCAGAACTTATTCCTCCTTTTTATTTTCAGCTCATCTCCCAGAGGGATTTACAAGAGTCCAAACCAAAATTAATCTTCAGTACTAAACTGAACATTGTAAGAAATTGGGTTTTGGGGGTTTTTTGTGTTGTTTTGGTTTGGTTTTTCCCCCCTGATTTAGATTCCCCTCAGGGTGTATGATAAATTGTTCAGTAAATACTTACATGAGATTTACATCCTAACTGTGTGATATAACAACTGCAGATGCTTTGGAGGTCCTTTGGAGGTCCTGTGCTGATATAACAACTGCAGATGCTTTGGAGGTCCTGTGCGTTGCCTTTAGGTGTTGCCACAGGTAGTGCTTATGTATCAACACTGCAGTGTTTGCTCATTTGGGTCCTTCCATCACATGGCTTTGGAGTCCCTGTTCCTCTCAGAGCCCTGCTAGTACCCCTGGTACACAGAAATCTCAGTACAGGAACCAAGCCTTGTGTGATGTCCTCCTGGTAAAAGGTCCATGTGCCTTGTGCACTCTACTTGTCATTTCGTTCTTAAGTCCCGGGGAAACAGACAGCGGAAAACTCTAGTGTGGTTTTATATGGCTGATGGTTTTAGAGGTGATGGGTGTAGTTGGGCAGCCAGTTGTAAAGAACATGTGGATCTAAAGATGCCATGGAAAAAAGGACAAAATATCCATTTCTGTCTCATCCCCCTCAGGGAGAACAGCTACATCTTGGGAAAAGACTTTAGATGTTATTGCTAGTTAAAATTGATCAGGTAGGAACTGCTCATCATCTGAGAGAGTCCTCAGTTTCTCTGTACATTTCTGAATGTCCCACATACTAGAGTTAGAGGGCAATCTGTACACAGCTCTCCAATAAAGCTTTGGACTCAGTCCTTGCTTTTGTTTCATTACCCTCCAAACACTCTTGGGTGGTAATGGAACACAGTTTGGTGGTGGTGGTGGTGTTGTGTGCATGTTGTAAGATTACCTGACTTTTTTCCTCCCAATATGTCATGTTTCCAAATACACCCTGAGAATGAAGTTGTCACCTCTGTCAATAAAAAAAAGATATGTAGAGACAAAACAGCGCATAGAGGTTTTTTTGAGTATCAGCAAGAAGGATGAGTTTATGGAGTGCTAGCTGAGCATCAGTGATAGCACTGACAGGTATGAGAGACCTCAATTAATCTGGGACAAGTTCCACTAATAAGGCAAATTTAACAAACTTTTTCCGAAGTGTAAAGTTTGGGAGAAAATACACAAATTTAAATGCAGGTGGACAGAGGCTGTTCACCTTAGCTCTGATGGAGCAGATCCACCTGAAGCTGGTTTTGATGTTGTTACTTATGATTCCACAACCCCAGCTGGCTCCTTTGGCCCCAGCACAGGCAGTGCTTCTTGGTAATGCAACTCCTGTGCCTGACTTTAGAACTTCAAAATACCACACACTTTTATTTGCTCTCCAGACTGCCCATATTGCACAGCAATAGATCAGTGCTCCATAAAGCAGTTAGGGATGTGGGGTTTTTTTTCTGAAGCAGGCTATACACTAAATAAAATTTCAATATAAATTCGACTTTAAGTGAAGTAACTCTACAAAAGCCTGTGGAGCTCCATCATAGAATCATAGAATGGTTTGGATTGGAAGGGACCTTAAAGCTCATCCAGTTCCAACCCCCCTGCCATCAGCAGGGACACCTTCCACTAGACCAGGTTGCTCAAAGCCTCATCCAACCTGGCCCTGAACACTTCCAGGGAGGAGCAGCCACAGCTTCTCTGGGCAACCTGTTCCAGTGTCTCACCACCCTCACAGTGAAGAACCTTTTTCCTAATATCTAATCTAAACCTCCCCTCTTTCAGCTTAAACCCATTTCCCCTTGTTTTGTCATTAACTGCCCTTATGAAAAGTCCTTCCCCAGCACATACCTGTTCCAGATTTGCTTCCCTGTACCCCTCCATAGGGAGTGACGCTGCTGACCTCACTCCTTGTATCAAAGCCCTGCTTTTAAGTTTCCTTTATGTATCAGGCATCCCTTTAATTCCTGTGAAGTAAAACCAGAGTGCACATTTGTATTGGTTACACTGTTGTAGTGCAAATATTAGAAGAACTTGAGACAGATGGCAGGGTTCCTGGTGCAGCTGAAGGCTCTGTTGCAAACTACTTTTTAATGAATTGAGTTTCCAAGTGACAAGTGGGATGATGTCACTTCCATCGTTGTCGTGCCTCAAGAGGGCAAATGAAGGCAGTAGAACAAAGTGCTTTCCAGCTACAGTGGCAAAAATGCAATTTTTCATTCTGAAATCATAGAATCATAGAACAATTAGGATTGGAAGGGACCTTAAAGATCATCCAGTTCCAACCCCCCTGCCATCAGCAGGGACACCTTCCACTAGACCAGGTTGCTCCTCCATCAATCGAGGACTTAAAATTATAAGCATCTGTGGTTTATAAAAATAGGCAATGTAACTTATGAGGCTGGATTTCTGCAAGGCCAAAGGTGAAGAAGAGAAGTCAACCCTAGTGACTTCCTTCAGTATTCCCTCCCGAGATTTGTGTAACAGGCTGGGCAAGACCTCAGAAGATTCCAGGTGAGAGTGGGAGTGCTCCTGCTCCACAAGTTAATGAAGTGTTGCTAGATTTGCATTGGTCTAGTATGATTCTTGCATTTCTTGTGTTCTCCCTTGCTTCTCAACCCATCTGTATGCGCTACATTTCATGTCTAGTGTCTCTTTCAGGAAGGGAGATGAAAGAGATGGATTGAAAGAATATTTCTAGCTGTTTTGTACTCTATTACTATCACCTAATCATTTTGTAGCTTTTACAATCTATACCTTTTTTGCTTGTTATGTACAAAACCCAAAGGATACAGATGGAAAAATATAACATATATTATAAAGGCAAGCTCTCACTAATTTCCTAAGTTGGCTAAAAAGATGCACAAATGTATGTTCCTTCCTGTAGCTTTTACTTCATCACTGCCCCACAAACTAGTCCTGCAGACTCAGCCTCTGCACTTGCACACCCCATCTCTACAACATTAGGAGCTGGAGCCAGCACGTGAGTTCTCCATCTCTAAAGCCCATGTGTCCCACCTCACCCTGCTTCATCCTCGGCTGGAGCTTCAGAATAATATTCTAGACAATACAAGGGCTCTTCCTTTCGTGAGAGCCTTGTCCACAGCTGGATCTGTGGTGGCTGCTCCTTGCTCAGCTTTGAGTTGGTGCCGATTCTCACGGCGTATCACGCTTTGGCGATCTGTTTTACACCACGAACTTTACAACAGAGTTATTTTTTTTGTTCTCTGTATTTCTCAGAGAAAAGACATTATGAATAGAACTGGCTGAAATATGTAATTTCCTTTCCACAGGAAATCCTGTTGTTCTGGGAAAGTCTTTTCTTACAGTTTGAAAGTAGGACTGTAGTTCTTAAAAATATCCTATGCAGGAGAGACCATCCACATTTTCAGTAAGGAAAACTGAACATGGGATCTAATTTTTCCAGGATATATGTAATGTAGACCTTAGAGCATAGTCCTGGTATTTGCTTCCAGGCCTTATGTTCTCTTCCAGATCCCAGGCTATGACAAAGAACATTTTTCTAGTGTTCAGCTTCCCTTTATATTTCTTTGTTATATACTGTATTTTGCCAGCTTGATTGCATCTAATAACAAACTCAGCGACATTTGGATTATGGTTAAGACAGTTCTTACTTGGTTACAGTGCTGTTGATAGAGGGGTGCAGCTGAAAATTAGGAGTATTGCATCAGAATCTTTTAGGAAATATTAAATATTGATAAAACCAAACCTTGTGCTGGAGCTCGGGCACCACAGCTGTCAGTCCACAGGCTCGGGAGGTTCTCCAGTATGGAAGCTCATACAGTGAACAAAAAAGAAGAGCTATTTCTCTTTACTTCAAACACTTATGCCCGCCTCATCCAAGGAAGAAACCAAGTAGACAAAGGTAGCTCATTTAAAAGGGAGATAAACATGCACGGTCTCTCCATCATTTAATGTAGGAGGACACAGAACTGCTCCATCAAGCCAGTTTTTACAAAGCAGTTACAAGTGCAAATAGGACATGAAAATAGAGATTTTCTTACAATTTCAGTTATGTTACATATGTCTGTATATTCACTGCATATGTTACATGTGCTATACAGACAGTTTGGAAAAAGGGATCTAAACATTATTGTTTCAGTATCACAAAGCAACGCTTTGAGTTTGAATTGGAGAGTAAAACATTAAGTACAGTAAAGAATTATGTGAAAGTCTGAGATATATTAATTACCTTTCATTTTGTTTATTTATATTATAACTTTCTAGGTTTATTTTTATGACAAAAGAAACATTTCTCTACTGGGAAAATATCACACTACTCTATTTATCTTTGATCAACTTAAAAGTTTCTTGAACCAGCTCTGTGGAAGGAAGAGAAAGCATTATTTTGTTGAGTACCTATTGTGCAGCTTTATTTACAGAAGCTCTTTGTTTGCAGCTGTTCTTAAGCTTAAAATATTTTGAACTTAAAACATAGCGTATCTTTGAAGGGATATAATTTAAAATGCTGCAGCCTACCTCCTCCAATTTGACTGTTCTGTGGCCTTATGATTGAGTATGGTTTATGCAATGACACAAAGAAGGTATTTTGAGGAGCTGCAGCAAGGGATAGAATCAGAAGCCGGGCACACTCTTTTTGAGCAGTTCCCCAGGCAGTGACACAAGTTTGGGGAGGAAAAAAAAAAATCACCTCCAGAAATCCCTGAGTAATGCAAACATCCAAAGCTATTAGCTCCTAGAACTCCTTTTGTTTTGCACAGGAGTAGAGGCGATGAGACAGGGGTTGGTGCCAGGCTGTGGAGCGTGCCCTGACGCTGTGCGAGGAGGTGGGAGCTCACATCGTTGGGATTCTGCAGAGACAGCCGAGGAGAATTGGTTCTGCTGTGCTCCTCAAGCTGTCAGGGCTCACATTGGGATCTTTTCTTCCCCAGCTCACCACAGGCTTCATGCTGTGATAGATTTAGGCAATTGTAATCGAATGCAAATCCTGTACTTGTACTTCTCCTGACATCGAGCTGCTTAAAATAATCACTAGCTTTGAGGAACCAAACAGAATCTGGCAGCTCAGAATTATCTTTTAACTTGGATGAAATGAGAGGAGTCCTTGATTCAGGATGGCTTGGAGAGTGCTTGTGGGGGATGAAATGGCTTTTCATCTCATGGCAGATTTTGTCCCTGCTGCACTGGCGTGCAGGATGTGGACAGCTGTGAAGAGCAGTGGAGACTACAGCCATGCAAAGAATTGCTGGAAATAAGCAAATAAGTCCTATCCTTTGGGAAGCTGTCACATTCAATTCACTTTATTATAGATCAGTGGTAAAAATCTGCATCTGACCAACAGAAATGTATGTTGAATGTATGTTGAACATATGTTCAGTGTGTATTGAATATGGCACCATTGTCACTGCATTCCTTGCTCCCAAAAAAAGCTTTGAGGAGAAATTTTTTAAAGCTAACATTTAGTCTGAGTTTGGTTTAAGAACAAATGAGATCTACAGTTTTCAGATCTGGAAGGACAGTTTCCTGAGGCCATAGTGCTGTAAGAGCAAATGATGTGTTCTTATGTGGTTTAGATCTTCGCTTAATGTTTAGATTATCCATAATTTTGTACAGTTGTTGCCATTCAAGCTTGCATTTCATTTGGATGGCTCCATTTTGGGTGCTGCTGTTCCCTTGCTGGGCTAGCACCAACCCATTGTGGTCCCTACGGTTTTTGTGTCTGTGTGAGCACATGGTGCTAGAAAAGGATTATTGACAATACTGGGACTCTGGTGTATTTTGTGGGTTGACTTACCTGGTGTGACAAACCCTACACTTAATATTCAAAAAGGGCTATGGTAAAATTCTGCTAAAAGCAGAGTGTAGTAGTTCCATGGAAGCGGGATACACAAGGATTTGCTGCACCTCAAGTGTCTCAATGGCTGCTTCTTACCTGTAGGACCACACACAAAAATTTAATGCTATTTTAGATGGGGGTTTTGATGAAGCTTGAAATTCTCTTGAGAAGATCCTTTTTATTTTTTTTTTTATTTTATTTTTTTTAGGTGATCTAGTCATACTTGTGCCAAGGACAGTTCCTAACACAGAGATATCAGTAGTGGTATCTATGTGGTTGAGCCACCTTCACACTGGAAAGCAGGATCTGCAGGACAGATTTATTTCTAATTGTCTGTTTGCTTTTGTAATACAAAGAAGTCTTAAGTGACATAAAGATTTATATATGGAGAAGACCATAGGCATGATATTCTGCTCTGGAAATCATATTGCAATGTAAAGTCTCCTTTGGGAAATGCAGAGGTAGTCTGATAGCTGAGGTTGATGCCATCAGCTTAGAAAGCCCTGCGTTTCCAAGTAGGCCTGCAAACATGAATCTCCACTCTGCTCACTAGTCTCTCATTTGATTTTCCCCAGGAGCTCTGACTCTGAAGAAGCATTTGAGACCCCAGAGTCCACCACACCGGTAAAGGCACCACCTTCACCTCCGCAGCCACCACCCGAAGCGGCGGCAGCAGCAGCAGTTGTAGCAGACATAGCAGAACAAGAAATAAAACCTCAGCTGCCCTTGGAAGATACAGGTAACAAGCATGTAATGAGTGGGACAGGTTACTAAGGAAGGTGAAGCTGCAGGGAGGTGTTTGTGTAAGCACAGGCAAGGAACTGCTGCTAATAAAATATCTTCTGGAAGATTAGTTAGTGTATGCTGGGCATTATCCATGCTGGGAGGAAAAACCCTGTCGCCTCCTGGAATAAAATATTGGAGAATCCATCCATAACATTTGATAAATAATAAAGAAGAGGCACTTTCTAGAAAAACCTTTCTTCCTTTTGAATCAAACTTCATTCCCTCTTCTTGTAGGATCTTGACAGATTCAGATGAGGAAAAGGAGGTATGAGATGCAGATGCAATTAATGAAATGTTATTTTCAAATGTATTAACACCTGAACCAGAAGGTGAGCAAAAGGCCTATTAAAAAACTATAAATATTTATATTAGCTTTGTAGGGGGAACATGGGAGTGTATGTTAATGTATACATAATATACATATATAAAAATTGGGAAATAAACCTTTAAAAAGGGAATATCACATTTAATGAAACAAAGAAATGCTTTCCCCTAAAAAAGTGTTCTTTGTTCTCCAAAATGAGTAATGGAATATTAGGGAGTAGAAAGCACTCTTAGCCCAAAATAGCTTTGTTTGGGCTGTCAGTTGAGAGCTCAACAGTTTAAGAGTGAATTCCCCATTATGCTGTCTTTTTTCCCATCTGAAAGTCAAGTCATCTTGATCACTTGGCTGAATTGTATGAAGGTAATTTTACTGTAAGCAGACTCCAGTTCCTGGTATTTCATGTGGAAGGATGTTTAGCATTGCCAGGCAGTGTTTGAAAGTTTCCATTTCCCCTGTAGAACACACTGTGGGTGTGTTTAGCAGTGGGCAAAGGTAATGTCCATGGATGGTGTGTGTGTTATAAAGGCTGTCCAGCTTTGAGTTAAACCTTTGGGAAAGTGACAAGTAAGTCCTGCAAATGTCTTAAGCCACTTAATGCTTTTCTGGGACTTATGTATTGAGGAATGCTCTTTAAGATCATGATTTATGATAAGAGCTTATAAGAAACTAGAAAGATGTTCAACAAACTGATTCCAGAAAATAAACATGAAAGATGTCCTTACTCTTTCCGTTCTGCTGTTACAATTCCCTCTTCGTTGTAGCAAACAACATTACTCATTCCCCCTCTTCTTTCTTTTTTCTAATCTTTTGCAATCTACTGATTACAAAACAAGTGCTGAGAGAACAAAAGACCGCATATGCTAAACAGGATTGGAGTGTGGTTTTAATTACTGCAGTAGATTATCTTCAAACCCTTCCCTGGCACGTGTGATTCTTGTCTCCTTACATCCCAGATCTCCCTCTCCTTTCTTTCAGATATCTTTGAAGAAAGGTAGGAAACTGAATATATCCATTCATAGCCAGTATGAACTATGTTGAAGGCCATTAGATGGCAGAGATGAAAACATTTCATTTGCAAATAAGATTTGTCCATGGAAGGCAAGTTACCACAAACTAACAGAGCTGTGTTCAGCGTTCTGAAGTTATGCAAAGTGCAGTTATACAACAGGGTAATTTATGTGAGGGAAGGAAGATGTGTAATGCAGAAAAAATTCACATGTAGGAGGACAACACAAAGCATTCATTTGTTTTGGAAATCTTTTAGAAGAAATGAATAATACTAAGACTATAGCTTAGGTGTTTGCATGCTTCTTAGAAATGTGAACAGTTAAATGTTTTGTACTTTACAAACAGCTTGAGAAACAGTTATCTTGTAGTTTACTAACCTCATAGTTTATGCATGTGCCTGCACTCAAAAGAGAATGAATCCCTTCCTTGGGGTTTATGGGCAGTTGAAACAGAGTTCCTCGTTGGTATCATACAGCTAAATAAATAGGTTTCCATAAAAGAGGAGTAAGGAATACGGGCAGCCAGAGAGCCTGGCACACACACAGGGAGAGGCAGCGACGTCCAGCTGGGTTTCTGGTTCACCAGCTGCATGGCTTTGTCTTCTACATGAGGTTGGTGACGGAGCGTGTGCTTGGGTGGAAGGAGGAAGCATAGTAAGTTTTTTAAAAGCATTATTTAATCTACATCTGACAATAATTACTTATGCAGACGGTTGCAGTTATGCTGCGTGATATCATTAACGCAACAGCTGGACCCCACTGCTGGAAAGGCAAGAGGAGAGTTTTTAATTAGGTTGACTTCAACACTAGCTTAATAAATATGATGAAAGTGAAATAAGGCTAGACTGATCTTGGGTTTGTGCCAGCTCCTGGTGGGGTAAAACCTGCTGCATGGCTCCAGTCCATCAGGAACAGAGCAGAGGAGGGGAGTCAGTCTGTGGGTGAGAATGGAGAGGAAGAGCAGTAACAGAGCTGCTATGGAAACTACCCCTGAGCCCCAGAAAGCATCACTAATGAGCCCTTCCATTCCTCTGTAAATACCTTTTATTGTGGGGAACGTGGGTTATACTCTCAAGGCAAGTGACTTTGAGGGCACTTTTTTTTAAAAAAAATATTATTACTTTGGTAGTATTTTTAATTATTGTTGCCTGTCTCATCAGCTTCTCATAGCTCCAACCATCTGAGCACCAGAAAGTGCCCCAAGCCCTTTCTCCCAGATACCCCCTGTTTCTGTCCAGGGATTCCTGCCTAGACAGGGGCATTTCTCCCACCCCCCTGCTGTGTTCCCAGTTAATTAATGAATTCAGATTATATATGCAGGGGAGATGTGAGAGTTAGAGTCTTCTCTATGCATTACAGCCCTCTAATCAGAATATGGGAGATCTATATTCAGGTCCTTCTTGTGCCAGGGAAATTGAGGTCAGGCTTTCCAGTAGAGAGATGATGAGCCAGACAAAAAACAAACCAAATTTTTGGTAGGAAAACCTTCTCCATATTTTTCCTCTTGAAGCCTGACTCAGAAAAACTGAAAATAAAGTTTATAGCCAAATTTTTCTCTCAGAATAGATGGCAAAAATATTTTTACAGTAATTTTTAAAATAGCACTACTAGTTGATTTCATAACTTCAAAGGCATCTTGTAACAAGCAAGAGCTCGAAATAGAATATATTTCAAAATTTCTACTACTAGGTGATTCCAATCCCCATGTTCTATAGGGGAAGTGCTACTGGGTTATTTCACTGAAATGGAGTATGTGGGTGCACACTGTTTGCATTTTCCAACAGCTTCTCTTTGCTTTTGTCTAGAAAACAACTAGAATTTAATTTCTTCTGTATTTGCTTTATTAGATCTGGTTACATTTTGTTTCTAAGCCTTATAAAATAGCGTTTCATTTTATTTCTAGCTCAGCAGTGTTAAGGTCTTCTATTTTCAGCCTCTTGTGTTTCCCCCTGTTTTGGAGATGCTTTAGAGAACAAAGTGCTCAACTGTCCTATTGCACAGTGCAGCTCCACTGCTAGAATAATTTGTTATAATTTAAAGGGAAAAAATATTTTAAAATAGCTACAAGTACTTTATGTATTCTAACCCCTTAATATATTTTAATTATTCATAAAGAAATAGTTCAGATGTAGATTCAATAAGCTCATAGATGGTGCAGATACTTTGTTTTCTTGTTTAAAATATCGTTAAAACAAATCTGAAGTTGCCTCCAAAGTTTTTGGAAATGTGTCTTTTTGTGAACTCATCCTGGGAGAGCTCATTGCCTACGCTGTGGTCGGGGATGTCCTGAGGTGCCACATCCTGTCCCCCTGGTACCACAGTGCTCAGAGCGGGGAAGGCACGGAGAGCTCCACAGGTGAGGAAGAGAACAGTGATGCTGCAGCAAGATGAACAAAGTCTGCCCTTGCTTTGGTTCCTTCTGTAGCTCCTTGTACAACTACTGCTCTAGAGTTTCTGCGTTGCTTTCCCAAGGCTGTAAAAATATGGGATCTCAGATGAAGAGAACAGTGATGCTGCAGCAAGATGAACCAAGTCTGCACTTGCTTTGGTTCCTTCTGTAGCTCCTTGTGCAACTACTGCCCTGGAGTTTCTGCATTTCTTCCCTAAGGCTGTAAAAAGATGAGCTCTCAAACGTAAATCCTAATACCAGTCCTGGTCTAAACCTACCAATGCCTCCTATCCTTTCATATTAAAAATAAAGCAGTGGTAACAACGTAGCAAAAATTTTATATCCTCATCAGTGGACGGTTTGGAGCACGTGCATGAGATTTGTTACTGTTTGGACCATTTATGGATGTTTATTTGGAGGCTGAGTTTAGGATTTACATCTGAGAGCCCATCTTTTTACAGCTGGAGGGCTGGGATGCCATCCAGAGGGACCTTGACAGGCTTAAGAGGTGGGGCTGTGCTAATCTCATGGAATTCAACAAGGCCAAGTGCAAGGTTCTGCACCTGGGTCAGGACAATCCCCAAGCAAAAATACAGGCTGGGTGATGAGTGGCTTGAGACCAGCTCTGAAGAGAAGGACTTGGGGATGGT